TTTTTCTGTTAATCTTTGTGCTTTTACCCAAAATATTTTGGGTGTGAATGGTAGATGTTAGAGTAAATTGGAGTAATTAGGAAGAGAGTAATTGAGAAGGAAGGGAAAATAAAAATTAGAGTAAAAGAGAGAAAATATGAGAATGGTAATAAATGAGGAGAGAGAGAATAGTTAAAAAAAATGGTGCAAATGTTTCCCACCTCAAAAACTATGAGGGAAAAAATTAGACTATTTCCCTTCTTTTCAACAGTAATCAGCACAAAAAATTAAAAAATGATAAAAAATATTTTAACTTGATTGGTGAAATATTAGCGTAAGTGAGAGTAATTGGACTTATGGCTGAAATATTCTCGCTATAAGTGACAAACGTTCATAGCCTTCATATTAAGAAATGGAGGGAGTATACTCCCTATGTTTTAAAATATAAGTTGTTTTATTTAAAAACACGCATATTAAGAAACTACTTTTCTATTAAAAAGTATCATTTAATATATCTAATAAAAATAATTTGACCAATCATATAAAAAACTTCAAAATATTAGTAGTCACAAAATAAAGTTAAAAAAGTATCTAGTATTGTCAAAACAATTTACATTTTGAAATAAAAAAATAGATAAAACAACTTACATTTTGAACGGAAGAAATAGTATTTTGAATATTTGGTATGGCTTAGTCAATGATCAATATTTGCTTTAAAATATGATTCCAAAAACACATTTTGGTAAATCAAATTAGATTTTCACGTACGTATTTTGTTGAAAATGGAGGAAAATAATGTTTGTCGCAAATTACAATTCGATATCAATGTATTTACCCGTCATTAATTTAAACGTTAAAGATGGAAAGCCACGATGTATATATATATATATCTCTGATATCTTTGGGTTCACACTAACTCTCATATTATCTTTGGGTTCACACTAATTAATCTTTGATCATAGAGTGTCCAAGCAGCAGAAATTTGACATAGTTCCAACAGCAAAATTGAACCATTATACACATACAGTTCAGTCGTTTTCTTAAGGGTCGGATTTGAAATTTAAATCTGAACAATTTGCAACAAAATGGAGAAGCTTTATACTTGGTCGACACAAATAAACTTTATTCGAAGCACAAAGAGCACCCTCAGAACAAATACACCACCAGAAAAAAGGGGTCAATGGATCCCACCAGAAAATGAAATAAATCACCATTTCCAATTTTGATGTGAAAAACGAAGAGCTTTGGGAATCAACTTGAATACAATTCTAAAGATCTATGAATAAACAAAATTCGTTTTGTTTATAGTAATGTATCTTATTTTCATATATTTTCTTTACTTAGTCAGCTTGTCTTTTTGACCTAATCTGCCATTAATAAGGATTCCCAATATATTTGCACATATCTTTAGATAAAAACTATATTGATATACTACCAAAATAGGCAAAATGTGATAATCTCATCTCTATATATAAAAAGATAGCGATTGTTTACACGTATGTATTTACTTGTGAGAGGGAGAAGAAAAGAAAGAGAAATATACACACTAAACGAAAAATGGAGAAGCAACTCTTTTGTCAATTCTTAGTCGTAATGGTGCTATTGTCGTCATCTCGTATTCAAGGAAACCCGAGAAAAGGATGTTACGATTCAGGTATCACAGCTTTGATGGGATGTCCAGACTCTATCGACAAGAAGCTTCCGGCACCTCCGAAACCATCCGAAGGTTGTTGCACTCTTGTCCGAACCATTGGAATGGAATGCGTCTGTGAAATCGTCAATAAGGGAATCGAAGCGGCCATTGATATGCAAAAGCTTGTCAAAGTCGCTGCTGATTGTGGTCATCCCCTTGCTCCTGGCTCACAATGCGTTAGTAAGTATTAAATATAATTGTGTTTTGTTTTGTTCTCATCTTAATAACAGGAAATCTTGGATTATATGAATAAACATGCTAGCAATAATAACCAATGATCATCATCTAATTAAGGTGACCAAAAAAACCTATATCTAAATTACTACAATCTATCCTAAAGACACTTCACTACCCTTACTAACGTGATAGAGTCATCAATTCATCATAATTTCTTCTTATTTATAAATCCTTCGATACAGTGCGAATCATTTATATTGACATGCAAAAATTCCTACGACCGTTGAAGTTTAAAGAATGGAATATTAACTCATTTCTTTCATTAGTAAAAAATGATTTATGATTTATATGCTATAGATCTAATTGAGCATCTTTCTTTTCCAGGTTACCGAGTTCCTGGTGTATGATATGAGACATCAATGCGAATATGCAATGAAGGCTAATGTCGACAGAATTATATATTATAGTAATCTGAAAACCGCTCGATTTTCTATTTGCTGGTGTTGCTTAGTCAACCGTCAATCTTGTTAAATAAAATATGTTGCCAAAATATATATGTTCGCAAAATAAATTAGTTTTTTTCTGTAAACAAATCCATATGTTACGAACTTACGATGCACACGCAATTGATGAACCGGTTATTAATGAACTAAAAATTAATGGGCGTGAAGTTGATATCTTCAATTTAAGTGTTAATCGCGGTCCGTTCCATCCAGATCAATTTTTTTATCCGTATGAATTGTATTTGTTACACAACTAATCAGATAGAATGCTCGGTTATCTGCTAAAATTTACACATTATGTTGGATATCCAATTCGTTATAGATCTCGAAAATCCATAGAGTCTTAGCAAAAAAAAAAAAAAAATCCATAGAGCTTGAAGCAAAAGAAAAATTTACAGTATTTGGATTTTTATGTCTTTTGTTTCCTTTTATTTTTCATGTTTGGATATGTGGTTGTTAATTATACCTGGAAAGTAGGCCAATAAAAGCCTATTTTCTTTGCAGTAATTTATTTTCATTGTGCAATGGGAGTGTCTGACGATATAGCTGAGATGTTTGTGGTAAAGTTCAATTTCAGAATTAGAGGTGGGTAAACTTTCCTGTCATGTTTTCTCCAGTTTTGTTCCTATCATATTCCCGATATTTATAGGGAACAATTTCTATTATATACTAGTACTTTTTTTGTGAATGGGATATAACAAGATGGGAACGAATTTTTAAGTATCATTTAGAAAAAAATTATATAATTATTTAAATGTATATCTTATAATGATAGAAAATTGAAAATACATGATATGACATTCAAATTTAATCTTAGTTTTCTGTTTTTTTCAACATGTAACCAAATTACTAACTATAGTATTTAATATAGAAATTTCTTCGGATAATTACAAAAATATCATTATGGATACGGTTGTCCATTTGTAAAAATGTCACT